CATTTCTGAAAATTTTTGGAGCATTGATGCTTTCCATAATACAGGAACCCCTCCTCTGCATCTCAAATCACTCTCTGGCTTGGCTTCCAGTGGCCTTCAGATTTGACCTCTTACTGCAGGAACTGGGCACGTCCTCCCATTCTGTGCACAATGCCTTCCACCACTCCTACAGATGCCACATAGCAAAGTGGGCAAGAACACAGTCTATGGCTCCACCACTAACTGTGAAGACTTGGATAAATTACATAGTACCACATGTCTTGGTTTCCTTGTCTTTAATACAGGTAATAATAATAATAATACCTGCCTTTAGGGGTTGCTGTAAGGATTGAATGAATTAATGGTCATAAGTCACTTAGAACAGTGCTTGGCACACAGCAAGTGTATCATTCACTTTATGTTATTACTATCACTAATGATGAGATCGATGATTTGAACTTTTCATAGGTGTTGAGCACAGAGCTGAACAGCTCACATGCATCACGTCATTCTATTCTTATAACAACCCTGAAGGCAGGTAAAACTACCATTCACACAGTTAGTAAATCACATGAAGAGGCAAAACTCATCTGACCATGGAGCCTATACTTCCAATCCCAGCTCTTCTATTCTCTCATATTTCTCTCTCAATCTCTTACAGATTCTTGAAGGTGCTTCAAAATCGTGCCTGACTTAAACTATGTTATTTTCTCTGTCAACACATGAAGAGACATAAACATTTTTGCCTCCCCAGAATTGAATGCTCCCAAATCAAAGCCTTCTTTGTGTATAAGTGCAAGGAGAAGAAATTGAACAGCTGGGAGTTCATAAGAACAGTCAAATATGGGCTTACAGGTTAGCCCAGCCTAACTTACAACCTGAGAGCTACCTTTTATGCAAAATGACATTACAGCTCCAGGACTCAGATTCCTTCTTGAACCATAAGAATATCAATCTTTTCTTTCTTTTATTCTTTAAAATAATATATCTTAAAAAGTTAGAATATTATTTAACCCCAGGCTTGGGCAGGTGTGGGGGACAAAAATCAAGCACATCTTCATGAATGTGGACCATCTGATGTAACACCCATCAATGCCCACATCCCAGGTGGCCCTCACAGCACATTGCACCCAGCAAACCATTGATCTTGAGCAAACCACCCTTCTGATGACTGTGTAGTCACTAAAGATGTCTGCCTCCACCTCCAGTCTATCAAAGACCTCAGAGAGATAACTTTGTTAATGAATAGGAAGGAATCCTTTCTAAAACCCCTGAGCAAAATGTGTCTTGTCTATAGATGAACCAATGAAATGAAACACTCCGGTCTGGGACCCACAGTGGCAGCTTCAAAAAGATACTAAATCTTCACAGACCAACAAAGAGAAAATCAAAGTTTATGGAAAATTTCACATGGCATTGGTAGATAAGACATGTGATGTAGAATCCATCTCAGGATACATCCAGGGATACCATGTGAAAACTCTTGGACTGTGGGCAAGCTTCTCAACTCCCCTGAACTTTAGTGTCCACGTCTATGAGTTCGTGAAAGTTGCCCCTCAAATTGGTATGGGCTCTAAATGAAGTTACAAATGTCAAAGCACCTGCTTTGTCTGATTTCTACTAATCACATTATTTTGTAAGTGAACCAATTTCCCAAGTATCAATTTTATCTTTATCCATAGCACATATATTTCTGATTTGGGAAAATAATAATGTTTTTACCAAATAGGTAACTACTGTGGCCATTGAAAATCAAAGAGTCTCATCCCTTGCTATTTAACAGCCCTGATTTGCTGGGCTTTCCCTTCTCATCCACCCAGAGTTCAGTTATATGAGTGAAAAGACCAAACTAGAGCTATAAAAATATGATTGCATTGCTGCTGCACATTCTCAAACTCAGATGGTTATTACCTGATGCGGGGCATTCCAGTTTCAACTATCTACTGCTGTTTTTATCTCATAAAGACACTAAAAACATCCTGCGCTGCTTTTATATACATCACAACTTTTATGGCTTTTGTGTCATAATAAAATGCAGTTCATTGGAAGCTAAGGATTTCTTTTTTCCAGCAGAAAAATAGCCAACTTGGAATAAGACATTTCTGTGTAGTCTTTTCTGCCTTCTAATTCTGGCCCGTTCAATCAGTCCGCATTCCTCCAGGTTGCCAAACTGTTCTTCCCAAAAGGCGATTTAAAAGACATTGCCCTGCTTAACCTTCAAAGGTCCCCAATTACCTTGATTGGAAGGCCTTACATCCTTAGCCTGGCATTTAAACATGCCTGGTATCTGGCCTCACAACTTAGCTACCTAAAACAAAACACTGAGTTTGTGTTTTACCTTCTTGGGTACTCTTGGTTTTATATACAATATGCTGCCTCTACTATTTCTGGTAAGCCCTTTTGCCTTGCTTCTTTCCATCTGTTTAATTTCTACTTATTAATAAAAATTCAGATTTCTACATACTTTTTCGAGATTTTTTTTGCTGGGATTTCTCCCTTTCCTCATCATTAGCAGAACATTGCTGCCTCTCTTATTTCAACACAATATTCTGCCCAGTCACATGACTTTCACTGTTGCCTTATCACCTCTCCACAACTAAATCCAAATTTCCCTTTGATTGGGAAATAGACCGTATACCTTTCTTTATCCTGCATGGTGAGTATGGGGAATGCTTGATAATGATGCATAAGAAAAGGAACAATTCTAGGAGGAACCTAAGCAGACTCCTCAATTTACCAAGGGTAGGTGACCTAACCACAATCTCATGAAGTTCATGGCAGATTATCTGGAACCCACTACAGAGCACTTGAGGGAGGGAGGGCAAGAGGAAGAGATGGAAGGATGGACGTATACACACATGCATGCATTCTAGGGGAATAGATTCAAGGAGCAGTGGATGCCTCCCTCTGGAGAGAGAGAATAAATAAAATACCCTGATGAACAGGAAGATGACAACTGTGTCTAGTTGGTAGGGATGGAAGTTCCTCTCTAGTCCCAATCAGATTCAGCAAAAGATAACCCATCAAGATCTTGGCAGAGCAGCCAAGCAGGTGCTATGGGAAAGACAGTAGGTCTTTGGGCAACACTAGAACTAACTGGTATAAAGTGATGGTTTTAATCAAGGACCTGGACTCTCCCACATAACTTCTTCCCTAGCTAATGTTTTCCCTCCCACTTCAAGGTCTTGACTCTTCAGACCCCCCAAACCCCTTCATTAATACAACCAGCTCCAAGCACAGAGATATGATTAGTGATTTGTACTATGATGTGGCCATTAGCTGTGTACTAATGTACACAGCTCTAGAGCATCTCAGAAAAGGACCCATCTAGGCATCTCTCACATGGACAGATCACCTGGTAGGTGACTAGACAGACTCTGATAGTAAATAACCAGGAAGCCTTTGTAATTACAATTATGATTCCTATAAAGTTCCTTGTCTATCAAGTTCAGTTGCTTCACCCAGTCCATGTCACCAAACAGTTGTTGATATTGGACAGTGGAGTTGACGTAATGTCATGTACCAAGATTATGGCAAAGGCATGGCCCCTTGTCCACAAGGCACTTTCAGTGTAGGTAAAAATCTCACTCTACAAAATCTCCCTCATTAAGTCCTGAATCTAAATAAACATTTTGACTATCATTGAATAATCATCCCTACAGGAATTTGGAAAACAATCCTTTCCTGATCACCATCACAGAGCTCCAAAGCTTGTGGATACACTACTGTCTGAGTTCTTCCACACCCCTTCTCACCTCCAGTCTTTAGTTGCCTCTTTCTCTTTGCAGTATCTGACCTATAAATAAAATAATCAGTGAGCTCAGCCTTGAGTTCTATTAATATCAGCCCATGATATCAATAGAAACTCCAATCCAGTGATCCCTTGCTATAGATCACACAGTAGGGCAGGTGAATTAGAACCAAAGCCAGATCAGTAATTACTGAGAATTTGGGAGAAAGCCAGAAGATAGAAATTCTCAGTAATGCTCTGTAGTATCAATGAAGTCACCATTAACTTGGAAACCCTGAAATACCTAGCCTGTTACTGAGTGGAGCATCCTGAAGTGCCCTTGACCTAAGCATTGCAGTCTCCAATATTCCTCCTCAAAATTTCACATATGCTCTCCTGGCTCGGCTTATTCTAAAAATTCTTAGAATTTTCAAAGCATTCCCATAGGGTCTTTGTTACAGCTGAGTCATCTGGAGAGGTCCAAATAGAGAGCTCTTCCAACATCATATCCCTGTGTTCCTGTAATAGGTGACTATAGCCTTTAACAAGAAAATGTAATACTTTTCAGCCTCATGCTTGTCTGCTTGAAATTCTGCACATGGAACCTATAAACGGTGTTTTACGGGAGGTTAAAATAAGACAAAAGCTGGAGAGGGGTCTATGTGTGCTTACCTATTAACCAATTAGGAGTCAAAATGATTCATGCCTCCAACAGAGTCTACTGTCTGGCTCTGAGCTTAGTTATGTAGTACCAAGATTAATAAGGTGCATTTTAAGAGATATAATCTAAGAAGCCTGTGAATGCAGTTATGCAGGTCCCTGTTTAAGAAAAGCTATTGTACTTCTATGTTAACATCAGAGAGGAAATATCTAGAAGACACTGGTATTTTTGAGGTGCACTTTGCCTTGGGGTTTCTCCTGCCAATGTTCCCACCATCATCAAATTGTCCCCAGCAAGCACAGACACTGGCTTCTTTTCTTCCTGTGATGCCAGTAAAAAAAAAAGATCAATTGTTGAGGCAAAATTTTATTAAATATCTATAACGAACAAGAAGGAAACAAGAAAACCGTATCATCATAGTTAGGGTATGAATTTTGGTTTGGCCAACTTCTATTTCTGTGATCTTGGGCAAGTCAACTTTTCTGTGACAAACTTCATATGAAAACTATGAATTGTAGTACTGTTACATGGGGCTGTTGTAAGCATTCAGTGGGAACAATAGAATAAGCTATGTGTTAGTAGAATTAGCTGCTATTAAACACTGTACAGAACAAGAGTGATCTGGCTTACCTGTGAGATCAGCCCTTCAAGCTTCCCAGTATCCACAGCTGGAGAGTCTTCATAGCTGAGACTCTTTTCAGGCTGCAGGTATCATCTGAGAGCCAAGTGCTCAGGATCACACCTAGAAATCCAGACCCAAAAAAGAGTGACACTCTTGCCCTTCTCATCTTTTAAAATGCAAACTTGATTTGCTTCACATTTTTCCTCCAAAATATTAAACATATGGTATTTCATCTGTCTCCATACAATTTTAAAGCAGATACAGATGTTCTTCTCTACTAAATGTTGGATTTAGAGTCAGAAGACCCAGTTGTGAATTCTGCCTGCCCCACTTGTTAGACATGCAATCTGAATCAACTGGCTTTATCTCTCTGAGCCCTGGTGTCCCCATCTGCAATGGAATAACAATCATATGCTGGTGGTGGGGGGAAGGCGCAATGATGGCAGTAGCAACAATGGTGAGAACAGGACGTCTACCTCACATGCTTGTTAGGAGACTTGTATGAGCTGTTATGTGATAACAGTTGCAATCTTTAAACTGTACAATTTCCTGTTCATCTCATTATTTATGATTTGGGAACTAAAGCTCACGGAGTGCAGAAGTGAGTAAAGGTCACACGACCCGCCGGAGCTCATGAAGTCATGGGACACTTCTAATGGAATGACCACTTGAACATTTCTGGGTTTATTCGCCTTTGGCCCAATTCTAGTCCAGCTTCAGGACAAAATACCCATATGCCTTCTAGACCAGGTCCAAGAAAGGCATGTTCAGCTGCTCGGGAGGCTGAGGCAGGAGAATTGCTTGAACCTGACAGGCGGGGGTTACAGTGAGCCAAGATCATGTCATTACACTCCAGACTGGGCAACAAGAGTGAAACTCCATCTCAAAAAAAAAAAAAAAAAAGAGGAAAGAAAAAGAAAAGAAAAGCTCGTTCACTTGATCCTTTATACTTTCTTTGTAGTAACAGTGTACACTACGTTGGCAGTATAAAGATACAACAGCAAACAAGTAGTCGCAAGGCTGCCACACTTACAGTTTATTATAATCTAGTCGAAGGAACTTAGCAATACTCTAGCTTTAAAGCTTTATTAAAATTGCGAGGCTATTGAGGCTCAGAGTGGCCTGGGAGAATGAGGAAATATGAATGGGAGCTAAAGTTGTCCAGAATCCCCTGGTTAGTGCTCTTCGTTCCAAGTGACTCTCTGGCATAAATAAATCATCTTCCTCATGCCACTCATTCTTTCCTATTTCATATAGGATTTCCCTGTGACTTACTAAGATAGTTTTCTCAGTGTATTAGACCTTCCTGGGTTATTTGACCTTACTCAATTCCTACGTTGGTGGAACACCCAAGAGCAAGAAGAGGCCCAGCATCTTCACAATGATACGGTCTTAACGTGCTGGGAAAACATTGCTCCACGAAAGAACAGTATCTAAGCTCCTAATTGATATGCTGTCTTAATTAAGGCTCATTTGGCAAGCTGAAATAAATTGGGGTATTTATTCAAAAGCTCCTGTGTAGTCCATGAAGTTGATGCAATGGTTAGGCTGAAACTTGGCAAGGAAGAGACCCAAGGAAGCTCTGGAGACTCCCTTAGTAGGAGTAGAAGGCCATAAAACTTGACTCCGGAGCTGTGCTGTCTATACAGTACCCACTGGCTGTTAGGTTGAAATGCAAAATTAAAATTAAAGGTAAGATGGCTCACACCTATAATCCTTGCACTTTGGGAGGCTGAGGCTGGCATATCGCCCAAGCTCAGGAGTTCAAGACCACCCCGGGCAACACGGTGAAACCCCGTCTCTACTAAAATACAAAAAATTAGCTGGGTATGGTGGCACATGCCTGTAGTCCCAGCTACTCAGGAACTGGGGCACAAGAATCACTTGCGCTCAGGAGGCAGAGGTTGCAGTGAGCCAAGATTGGGCTACTGCACTCCAGCTTGGGCAATAGAATGAGACTCCATCTCAAAAAAAAAAAAAGTTAAATGCAATGTAATGGAAGTAAAATTTAAAATACAGTTTCTCCAGCATGCCAAGCAGCTTTCAAGTGCACAATAGTCACCATGTTGGGTAGTGTGGGTTAGAAACCATTTTCCATTTTCCATCATTGCAGAAAGTTCTATTGTATAGCACTTCTCACCACTGATACCATTCAAGTGGCTCCCAGGCTATGTCACATTATTCCAACTTTCTAATTTTCAGCAGGGAGAATACGATAAAGCCAGGTTGAGCTCTTTGTCTACATTCTGGAACAATCCAGTCTGATCAAGGAGGATGAAATCATTTAATACAGGCCTAGCTGGGCCTCCTTCACTGGGGCAGGTGACATAAGGGATTATTCTGTGAAAAGAGTATGGGAATACAGTCGTGTTACCGCCTAGACTCATCAAAGCCAGTGTCTCAGCAATTCTATCTTGTGTCTGTGTAATGCCTCCCAGGCCTTCCCCATTCAACCCTCATGCCTCTCACAATAGCCTGAGATGATAAAGTGGATGACAGAAGTAAAGAAAAGCTCTGCCCAGGATTGTGCACAACAGAGCGGTAGACTTAGGGCTTCAATCCACTTCCGGTGTCTCATCTAGTACGTCTTCTTCCACATTCCTCTTTTTACATTTTAATGTATCAGGAAGGATGTTTTTATTTATTTTCTCATTGTTCATCTTGGGCAGCCTTTTTGAAACATCCTAATAAATCTCGCTCCTCTTTAAGGAGCTGCCCTGGGCCTATTAACAGGAACAAAAACCAAAAACCACTCTTATTTATCTTCATCTCTAGGTGTGACCCAATGAATCCAGGCCCGAGAAGATGAACGGATCATTTTTTTAATCTAGAGAACCTCTGAATGCATGATGTGTTTTTTAGGACACAAATTCAAAGGGGGCACAGAGAAATCAGCAGAAACTTCATTTAGGAGCTTTTGTCTGTTCTATGAAAGGAGTCTGCACTAACAACAGAAACTAACAACAAAACTAATTATTGGAGTCGTTTTCAATTAACCTGGCCAGCTAATGTAATCCGTGGAACATTTGTTGATCTGGAGAAGTGTTATCTTCAGGAGAAAATCATCACTGGAGTTTTTGTACTCGTTGGGTCTGTACTGACGGGGCATCATCAAACCCCTGTATGCAGTGGAGGTGTTTGCACATCTACGTTGGTAAGAAGGCTAGGGGAATGAGCTTCCCCCTTTGCCCTTAGTTTCTACATCATTCTTTAGGTTTCTCACAGAACACTCAGATCTCTTCTAGGTATACCCACCTGTACAGCAATGTGAACATGGTGTCTATACTCCCTGCACAACCTGGTCCAAAGACATCCTTCACCCATGAGCTATAAGGCACCCATCAGTCCACACAGCAGTGCCATTCTAAGGAAACATCCATCTGAAAACCCTCAAGGCAGCACGTTCTCAGTCTTGACTGCACATTAGAATTGCCTGTGGAGCTTTTAAAAAGATCCAGTTGAGCTGTACTCCAGACCAATTAAATCAGAATGTTTGAGGGTGGGATCAGCATCAGTGATTTTTTTTTTTAGACCTGGGAATGCCACTATGGGGGCAGAGAACAAGCTATCGATGCTGCAGTGACCCTCCAATGAGCCCAAGAATTTCCTGAGTTGGAGAAGAGGGTCAGGGCAGGGGGATTCTAGAGGGGTGCATGGGAGAGTAAACTTCACGCTCAGCAGAGATGGTTCGGGGCTCCTTACAGGGAGAGATGGAGGGTGAGGGCTGCAGAGGTTGCCTGGGGCCTGCTGGGACTTGACCCAGCTGAAAGTGGACACCATGGAAAAATGTGTAGTGGGGAAGTGGCGGGACCAGGTCTGCATTCTAGAAAGATGTCCTGGCAGCCTAGGAGGGTGGTCTGCAGGGGCCAGGGTGGAGGTCGGAAAGCTAGTGAGGGGACTGTCAAATGTGGCGTCCAAAGCAACGCCTCAAACTGCCAGTGAAGAGAATTCTCATTAGCGAAAAGAAAGGAATGGCTCCTGCCGCTTAGACTGCAAAAAAACAACTTCAACACAAAAGAAATATTTTTTAACTTCTGTTTTTGATTTTTCTAATTTCTGTGCTTTTTTTTTTTTTTTTTTTTTTCTGTTCTGTGCCATCTTCTTTCCTCTCTGGCTTCCTGGGTGTTCTTTGCATACTTGGTTTTCAATTTTAAAATGAGTATCTTTCAGTATAAGGTTAATGGCCTTACACTGGCCATTAACCTTCCAAGACAGCAAAGCTGTGGGTGGATGGCTGAATGGGGAGGTTGAGATGATGGCGCTGATGGGACCCCTGGGTCACCAGTGCCCAAAGGCTGCTGCTGTGTGCAGACTGGACGAGGGTTACTGTGGACTGAATAGGAATTTGCAACACTCATCTTTTCTCACTGACCCTTGGCCATCCCCTGGTTTCCCCAAGCACAGCCTCATCCTTGGAGAGGTGCACCCATCAGGGATGTGGAACTTAGAGAATTTGGGAGGACTGAAATGTGGGTGCCAGGAGCCAGTCTCAGGGAAAATGGTTAGCAGGAGGCTCACATTGCACTCTAGGAAAAGAAGCATCTATTCACACTCTGTCACCACAGCAGCAGAAGGAAGGCCATACCTGAAGAAGCTTTGTTATAATCTGGGGCTTCATTCCGACTTTGTATCGGTTATCACACACTTCGGGAAAACCATACAAATTCTAATTCCTAATCTATTAATTACTATGTAAATATATCTAAAGATTATCCTCAGAAATGCCAGACAATACAACCAGGGGTTCAACACATTGTAATAAATATTTACTATGGAAAACCACACAATCATTACGAAGGCAGGCTTATCCTAATGCACCACTGAGAAAAATGACAACCTTCTATCGTTAAATGAAAAAGCCAGCTCACAGGCATTTGCTCACCCAGCCAACAGTATTTCCTCAGCGTCCACCACGTTGCAGGCAATGTTTTAGGTGCTGAAGGTGGGGTGGTGCACAGTGCATCTGCCAGGGAGGGAAGGTAAGAGGAATCAGTTCTCAAGTAAACAGAAAAATGAACACCACCAGCCTGGCGCAGTGGCTCACGCCTGTAATCTCAGCACTTTGGGAGGCTGAGGTGGGCGAATCATGAGGTCAGGAGTTCCAGACCAGCCTGGCCAATATGGTGAAACCCCATCTCTACTAAAAATACAAAACAGAAAACCCCGTCTCTATTAAGATTACAAAATAGGCCTGTAATTTCAGCTGCTTGGGAGACTGAGGCAGGAGAATTGCTTGAACCAGGACCCAAGAAGCGGAGGTTGCAGTGAGCCGAGATCACACCACCGCACTCCAGCCTGGGCTACAGAGCAAGACTTCGTCTCAAAAAGAAAAGGAAAGACAATGAGCACTACCACTCAGGCAGTGAATAAAACAGGATGAGGCAAGGAGTGACCAGGGTCCCCACAGCAGATGGCTGTGGTCTTGCTGCAAAGGTGAGACTATAGCTGAGAAGTGAAGGAGGAATAAGAATCAGCCTGAGAAGATGTGGCAGGAGGGGTAGGACTTACCGCTCTGAAGCAGGCCGAGCAAAGCTGCCGAGTAGGAACTCCAAGTCTTCCAGAACTGGAAAGAAACAGCCCTCAGTGTCTCCACCTGACAAGATCCAGCCAGGTGTGTGGTGTTTCCACTAAGCCCCCCTGTTCTCTCAGGAGCTCAGGGAGGAAGATTTCATCATTCTTCTGTAGAGAAATAGAAGGGACAGCACCATTTGGAAAAGGTATTTTCTCACGGGAACCACGGTCACCTATTGGGTGAGGGCGTCCTCACCCCTGACGTGTCTCTGGAATTAATGTCTCTCTGTTCTCTTGATAGAACTCAGCACCTTATCTTTGCCTGGATTGCTTAAAAAGATAAATCGGCCTTTTAAAGAGGCATATTAAAAACAATTGTCTTGGTTCCTATGTCTTAGTCATCCTCGTAAATGCCTGCTGGGCGTGACCACACGCCCCTTTCTCCCCTTTCCAAGAGGGACTGAAACCTTCCCTTTCACAAAGAAGGAACAACAGGCAGCAAACAGCAGAGCTGGGATTTGAACTCAGGTTTACCAGCTTCAGGGAAGCATCAGTGATTTTTAAACCTCCCCAGCTGACTGCAAAGACTACTTGAGTGGCAGGTTAGTGGCCAGCAGTATATGCATAACCTGGAGCTTGTTAGAATTACAGAACTGCTGACCCCACTGTAGACCTACTGAAAGGGAAACTATATTTTAATAGGTTGCCCCAGGTGACTCATCTGTGTATTAAAGATTAAGAAGCACAGCCCAACCAGGGTTCTCAGGCTTATGCATGCATCAGAATAGTATCTACAGAGCCTGCTAAAATGCAGATTACTGGGCCCCACCCCCAGGGTTATTAAACCACAAGAACTAGAGTAAGCCTTGAGCATTTGCTCTTTAATTATAATTATAATTTCAACTTTTATTTTAGATACAGGGGGTACATGTGCAGGCTTGCTACATGGGTGTATTGCATCTAGGTGGTGGATATAGTACCCAATAGGTAGTCTTTCAATCCATGCCTCCAACTGTTCCTTCCCTCTCTAGTAGTCCACAGTGTTTACTGTTCCCATGTTTATGTCCGTATGTGCTCAGTGTTTAGCTCCCAAAGTGAGAACATACAGTGTTTGATTTTATATTCCTGCATTCACTTGCTTAGTATTATGACCTCCATCTCCATCTGTGTTGCAGCAAAGGACATGATTTCATTCTTGTTATGACTGTGTAGTGTTCCATGTTTCCATGGCATATTTGTACCACATTTTCTTTATCCAATCCACCATTGATGGGCACCTGGGTTGATTCAATGTCTTTGATATTGTGAATAACATGGCAATGAACAGACAAGTGCATGTGTCTTTTTGGTATGAGAATCTGTTTTGGCCAGGTTGAATGGTAGTTCTGAGTTCTTTAAGAAATCTCCAAACTGCTTTCCACAGCCGTTGAACTAATTTACATTCCCACAAACAGATTCTCCATTTTCTATGCAGAATCACCAGCTTCTGTTGTTTTTGACATTTTAATAGTAGCCATTCTAACAGGTGTGAGATGGTATCTCATTGTGGTTTGGATTTGCATTTCTCTCATGATTAGTGATGATAAGCATTTTTCCATATGTTTTCGTCCATTTGTGTATCTTCTTTTGAGAAGCGTCTGTTCATGTCATTTGCACATTTTATAATGAGATTATTTGTTTTTGCTTGTGATTTGTTTAAGTTCCTTATACATTTTGTATATTAGGCCTTTGTTGAGTGAATAGTTTGCCAATATTTTCTTCCATTCTATAGGTTGCCCGTTTACTCTTGAGAGTTTCTCTTTTTATGCCAAAACTCTTTAACTAGGTCCCACTTGTCAATTGTTTTGTTGTAATTGCTTTTGGGGACTTTGCCAAAAATTATTTGCCAAAGCCAATATGAAGAAGGGTATTTCCTAGGTTTTCTTTTAGAATTTGTGTAGTTTGAGGTCTTATGTTTAAATCATTACTCAATTGTGAGTTAAATTTTTTGTATATGGTGAAAGGTAATGGTCTAGTTTCATTCTTCTGCGTAAGGCTAATCAGCTATGCCAGCACCATTCATTAAAGAGAGAGTCATTTATCCATTGCTTGTTTTTGTTGGTCTTGTCTAAAATCAGATGGTAATAGGTGTGTGGCTTTATTTTCTGTTCTGTTCCATGGGTCTATGTGGCTGTTTTTCTACCATTACCATGCTGTTTGAGTTACTATAGCCTTATAGTGTAGTCTGACATCAGGGCATGTGATGTCTCTGGCTTTGTTCTTTCTGCTTAGGATTGTTTTGGCTGTTTGGTCTCTTTTTTGATTTCACACAAATTTTTAGAGTAGTTTTTTCTACATCTGTGAAGAGTAATATTGGTAGTTTGATAGAAATAGTGTTTGACCTGCAAATTGATTTAGGTGGCCATTTTAATAATATTGAGTCCTCCAATCCATAAGCATGAAATATTTTTTCCATTTATCTGTGTCATCTCCAATTTGTTTCAGCACTGTTTTCTAATTCTCCTTGTAAAGATCTTTCATCTCATTGGTTAGCTGTATTCCTAGGTATTTCATTTTCTTTGTGCTGTTGTAAATGGTGGTGGTGTTCTTGACTTGACTCTCAGCCTGGATGTCACTGGTATATAGAAATGGTACTGATTTTTGTACATTAATTTTGTATCATTAAGCCTTGGTAAAATTATTTATGAGTTCTAGTAGCCTTTTGGCAGAGTCTTTAGTGTTTTCTAAGTATAGAATCATATCAACAGCAAAGAAAAGTAGTTGATTTCTTCTTTTCCTACTTGGATGCCTTTTATTTCTTTCTCTTGCCTGATTGCTCTGGCTAGGATTTCCAGTACTGTGTTGAATAGGGGTGGTGAGAGTGAGCATCTTTGTCTTGTTCCAGCTCTCAAGGGGAACGGTTCCAACTTTTGCCCATTCAGTATGATGTTGGCTTGAGTTTGTCATAGATGGTTCTTGTCATTTTGAGGCATTTTAATGCCTAGTCTGCTGAGGGTTTTTATCATGAAGGGATGTTGGATTTTACTAAATGCATTTTCTGCATCTATTGAGATGAGAATTTGCTTTTCTAATAGTGACTTATGCTGGTGATCCCAGGTGATAATGATATAAAGAGATCACGTTTTCAGATACACTGCTCTCTAAAGTACACTTAACATTATCCCCAAATCTTTTTTTCTCCCAGTATTGTTTTATGAGGACATAATAATGTATTAAAACATAAGGTATATTGCAGTGAATAAGGAAATACAATCCTTGACTTCGTGGAACTTAAATCCTAGAGAAGGTCCAGATAATAAACAGGAAAACAACTAAATAACTGAAATAAAAATTATAGATCACTTAAAGTTTTTATAAAAAATATATTAATATATAATAAGTGGTGAGACAGTGGGTGGCTAGGAAATACCATTACAGATCAGGTGGTCAGGGATGAGCCCTAAGAAGGAATTGCATTGAGCAAAGACCTCACAAGTGAGTTGGTGAGTACAGCAAAGGACAGGAGGAATAGATTCAAGGCAGAAGGAAAAGCAAACATAAGTACCCAGACTCAGGGTGGGCTTGCCACACTCCAAGTAGGGTGAAGAGACCAGGGCATAGATTTCCCTGTTTTTTTTTTTTTTTGAGACAGAGTTTTGCCCTTGTTGCCCAGGCTGGAGTGCAATGGCATGATCTTGGCTCATCGCAACCTCTGCCTCCTAGATTCAAGCAATTCTCCAGTCTCAGCCTCCAAGTAGCTGGGATCACAGGCATGTATCACCATGCCTAGCTAATTTTGTATTTTTAGTAGAGATAGGGTTTCTCCGTGTTGGTCAGGCTGGTCTTGACCTCCTAACCTCAGGTCATTCGCCTACCTTGGCCTCCCAAAGTGTTGGAATTACAGGCGTGAGCCACCATGCCTGGCCAGATTTCCCTCTTTATCTCCTATATCCACATGTGTGATTTGGAGAATGGAATTTTTCCTTTCTTAGCCTGTTTATTCATCAAGCTTTCCTTGTAGGATTCTTTGGAAGATTAAAATTCCATCAAGAACTTAGTTCACACTTTATTCACACAAAAGTTACACTTGTTTGCTGACACCAATTTCTCCAAGGGGGAAAGAAAGCAGAACTTGCCAACAGTGAGTGAGCCATCCCTCTTCACTGAACCCTGTAATGGAGACATAAGAAGGATGTTTTCTCTGCCATCAGAAAATCCCCAGCCACATAGGAAGGAAAACAGCAGGAGGAAAAAGAGAAGACTCGGGACAAAGAGAGCAATGATAGCTGCTTGGGTATGGACTGGGGAGTAGACAACAGGGGACATTCCAAGGACTGGAGCGGTTCAGGAAGGATCTTGAAAGAAGCAGAACTGCAGCCAGGCTTTCAATGAAGAGTTTAAGCCCTTAGACAACGGGCTATAATAAGAGGATACCAGCAAGGGGACCCTATCATTTTGCCTACATGTTTTATTGAAGAGATAGATGCATAAATCTGAAGATGACAGTACCAGACAAATGTCAAACATCTTCCAGAGTTTATGAACCTCATCAGTTAGGCAAACTATTTTCACTTCTCATCTCTCTCCTTGAGTTCTGCTATGAACTGAATTGTTTTCCCTCAAAATTCTTATGTTCAAGCCCCAATTCCCGATGTGACTGTATTTCAAGACAGGACTTTTAGGAGGTGATTAAGATTAAGTGAGGTCATAAGAACAGGGCCTCATGTCCTTATAACAAGAGGAAGAGACACCAGAGCTCTCTCCTTCTCTGTAATTATGCCTTGCACTATATTAGCACATACAGTGTGAAGGCAGGATCTCCAAGCCAGGAAGAGAGCCCGTTGCCAGAAACCAAACACTGTCATGCCTTGATCTTGGACTTTGCAGTTCTCACAACTGTGAGAAAATAAATTTCTATTGTTTAAGCCCCCTAGTCTATAGTATCTGTTGTGCAGCCCCAATCTAAGACACTTCCCAGGAAGCATAGAGCCAAAATTAATTCATATTTAGAGTACATATCATGGCACAAGTTTTATAAATAAGGACTTTCATCTTTCATCCACAGACTTAATGGTATAATATTAACTATTTTTAAAAATTGTCTGAAGTAGGACGTTCTTGGTCTTGCTTCCCACCAGATCTAGACTTGAATGTTCCATGCTTTTGGCTTTGAAAGAATAATTCTTCAA